GCTCAAATTCATCTTCTAAATGAACATTTTTTTTCCCATGTGGCCCTAGCCTCGTCCTTTCCACAAAAGTTTGATCTCTCTCAGAATTTCTAGAACAACACTTGGTGATAGTCTTACTGAAAAACAGTTCTTTTTTAAATAGATAGCAAAGCAATGGCAAGTGCCTTTTTTAAAAAAACTGTAATGTAGGTATCTTTAAAGAATTATATAACAACCACAGATCTTTTGTGGAAAATAGGTATTTAAAAAAAACAACCAAAGAATTTAAAATCAATTCAGAGTTTGCCCTGGGCAGTGTGGCTTGGTTAGAGTATTGTCCCATACACTGAAATGAGACGGGTTCAATTCCCAGTCAGGGCACATACCTAAGTTACAAGCTTGGTTAGGGCACATATGAGAGGCAACCAATCAATGTTTTTCTCTCTCAAAAAAAAAAAAGAAGAAAAGAAAAATCAATAAATATATACTTAGGTGAGTATTAAAAAATTAAATCAATTCAGATTCTGGATTATTGAGTTTTAAAAATTCAAAATTCTTTCAATAAATTTGACTTAAGTTTTCTAAGTCTTTGCCTTTCTGCTAAGAAATTTATTTTAGAATAAAATAATGGATTTTCTAGTACTTTCTATATGACTATTGTCCTTTGAGAAATATTACAACGAACTTTGCCTGAGCCTCCATGAAACTGAGATTCAAGATGATGATGTCCAATCTTTGAGTTGCACATTAATGAGCAAAAAACAATCATAGGATAATAGAAAATTGTGGTAATTTTCTGGATAATTCATGCCATAAGACCACTGCTGTCTCAATTATCAGATTACATCACTAAATGCTTTCTGGTCTAAATCTTTACATAATTCAAAAAGGCCCTCCTGTCTTCTATCCGTGAGAGAAAGCCATTCATTTACCATTGCTACATGGCCAAACATTTCTGCCCACGTTTGATAAACATATACAGGTACCCACCAATACCTCTACCCAATCTCAGAACCAACTCTCTAAGCCTTTTATACTCTTACCCACATACCTGCACACCAGCTCCACACTGGCCCACATATATGAATAAGACTTACTAGACACACAATAAAGGGGTGAAAGGTGGCTTCCTCTCCCTAGTGAAGACAAGCCTCCTTGCAGTTTCTTCAACCCAGGAACATGACTTGCTTTATAGCCAGGTGCAAACATTTCACACTTTAAATGTCTGTGAAGAGTTTTCCTGTGCCTCATCTCATTTGATCCTCACAGAAGTCCTGGAGTAGGTAGATAGGAGACTGGTAGAATCCTATTTTCTTTTCATTAGCCAGAAAACAGATTTAGAAAGCTTAGAAACTTGACCCGACTGAAAAGAAGTAAGAAATGGTGGACCTTGAAAATGACTTCAGGTTTTCTCACTGCACAGAATATAGTCAAACACTGCTGCAGTTAAATATTTTACCCTTTGTTCTCCCTGCATGATCTACAATAATAATGTGTTTCGTATTGATATTTACTGCTGTGTTGCTGATAATTACCTGAAAGAGAAGTTGGGGTGCTTCACTGGGCTGGAAAAAGTTTAGCTAAATCAGAAAGCAGGTCTAATTAAGCAAGCTTATTCTATATACTAGAGGCCCAGTGCAGGTATTCGTGCACTGGGCCTCTAGTATGCATATAAGATCTTTGGTTAACCCCCTCCCGCTCACCCCCTGCTCCCTTTCCTTCTGAGATTCATCAGTCTGTTCCATGTTTCCATGCCTGTGCATTGAGCATCTTCCCCCTGGTGGTCAGTGCATGTCATAGCTATCAGTCGAATGGTTGAATGGTCAGATGTTCCCTTAGGCTTTTATATATATAAATAGATATAAAAGGCTAAGTTGACTCGTGCATGCACGATACATATAAAGCTCTCACTGGCACCAATCGCACACGTGTGTTTCTATCATTGTCAATCGTGAATTTGGTTGACACTTCTATTATAGAGAAAGGGCGAATAGCAATATTAAAATATTTCTTCTAATTAATTTCCTTTCAATGTGCACGAATTCGTGCACCAGACCTCTAGTCTTTTAATAATGCTCATGTTGGTAACTGGGGGAATCTCACACTCCAGTATACACTGTCCAGGAAAATCTGTGCATCCCTAATAATGTATTCTTTTCATAGCGGAATGAAGCCAAGCTTGACAGAGAACTTCTGACATCACTGTCATCATCATCATCAACAGAAGACTATACCGTGGATGAAGAAGAGCGCTGAGAGAAACCAGAAGTAAACTGTGTTTAAGATACTGTACACAAGTCAATTGTTTCAGTTTAACTGTAGCAGTATGTTTAATTCTAGTCCAATCCATGAGGTTGGGATTGTCTTTTACAATTCATCTTTAAAAATCTTACAGTCAATAAATCCTAGTAAATCATACTTAAGGGATCTGTCCAACCATAATTTTGACTCCCATTGGTAGAAAACATATTTTAAAATGGAAAAATAATCGTTATGAAGCTTAGAGAGCTTGCAACCATTTCTTTAGAAACACATCTTGGTAATAGCAACCGTTCATCATAATACCAAACAGAAAGGATTAATTTACTGTGGCATGAGAAGTCCTGCCAGTTCCTAAATGCCCTAAATAGTTTCTCTGAGATTTTTTTACATTGTTTAGGCCTCAAGGAAAACCAAGGCCCCGCCTCCAGGTTTGGTAGCAAACAAACTCTGCCTCTCGGGTGCCAGGCACCGATCACCACTCTGGTAATAGGCTTCCTGCACATTTGCTAGGAAGCTGGGCAGCTTGTCAGCAGGTACCAATGAGACTGTGCAGCCGCCCCATCCTGCTCCTGTGAGTCGTGACCCTTGAGCTCCAAACTTCCTAAAACAGTGAGAAAAGAAAAATTAGATCCTGTAAATGAACATGAGAGTGATTTGGCTGCTGCTTATAAGACACATAGCCTACCCAAGTTCTAATGAGAGAGAGTGCATCTGTGTGTACTGTTTTGTGGGGTTTTCTCCAGTGAACTTTTTAGTAAATTAGAAAATGTATACTGTTGCAGAGGTAATTTCAAATTTAATTATATCTAAAACTGGCCCTTGGTTTTGGCTCTGAGTAGTAGGCTGCTATACGGCTCTTTGAGTGGTGATTTCATGGAATCTTCCTGCATCTTCAGGAGCTGGTCTGACAACTGGACTCAGAATTTACCATCCAATGAAATGTGCAATTGGGATGGAAACTATTGTATAATCCACCACACAGCAGGCGATGAGCTTAGTCACCATCAACCAGGCACTGTCAAAGCTAAGATTTGTACAAAGTACAAGGATCACTCATCTTTAAAGGATGCTATTTATCCTGACAATAAAGTTAACATGTACTTCCAATTCTAATAAATTTACTCCAAATTTATAGCAGGTTAAAAACTCCGTAAGTAATTCAGCACAATGTCATCCCCTTTTTCCATCTAAATGAGCTACTTTACTTCCTGGAAAATATCAGTAGAATATTACCCCTACTCTAGAACATCAGAATTATTGCACACCAGTGATTCACTTCCCCTCAATAATTTTGTCAATCAATTTCTTGTCATCATCTGCTTTATTCATTAAAGTATGCTTTTCAAATAAAAATAGATGTTGAAGGAAAAAAACAAAAATGCTTGCAAACAAAGAAAAACCACTCCTGTCCTCCTGTCCCTCAAACATTCATTCAGCTGATGACCCAATAGCTTCATGGAGCCCTGGGATCCTAAAATGACTCTGAGTCCGTAGGCTGGCAAAGGGCCAATTTGCAATTTGGTGATTTGGAAAAAAAAACAACAGTTGTCAGTCACATCAAACTCTCTTCCCTGGGGAAAATGCTAGAACAATAGAGGTGTCGGTGAAGCACCTCCCGAGAACCTGCCTCATCTAGAGCACACTGCCTCCTCCTCCGTTCTCTAAGGCCCAAACTGTGCCACTTGGCTGGACACAGGCCAACCAGGTCTCTTATGGTCTTCAATGAACTTGTAGGCATATTTTCTTACAGTTTTTCACTGGAACAGTTTCTGAAAGCTGTGGTTTCAAAACTGAACTTAAAGCAAACTGAGTGTTGTTTCTAACTCACTGCAAACCCCATAAGAATTGTACCAAAGGGCCTATTGTGCTGAGTATCCCGCAAGTTTCCAGAGAGCAGAAGCTCAAGTCTTCCTAGGTGAATGCATTCACTTCTGAGTCCCCAGAGCGGCTGTCAGCACCCTGCCGGCTGCAGATGACATGGAGTAAATTGCATCAACCACATGGTCTAAAATCATCAAAGCTTGACTTTCCCAAATAGAGAACGATAAGTGCTATTATAAATAGCCTGTGCCCTGAGCCAGTGGCACTTGTGATCACAAATCAGGGTCTGCCCAGCAGCTGGTCAGCAGGCCGCCCAGCTACACACTCACAGGCGGAAAGGGCCTGTCTGCAGTGTCCCCACTGGTATTTAATATGCCCTTTGGCATATGTCATCAAAAGTCCCAGAGACCCAAAAGTTAGGAGACCAATAAAAACTTTAAATTAAGAAGCAGGTGAGCAAGGGCATTTAGTGAACGTTTCATGTTTGCATTTTTCCCCTGGAAGAACAGTAAAACATTAAGAATGTAGATCCTAAGCAGCAACCATCAGAGAGGCAATACAAGAGTTATAAAAAACCAAACCCTAAAATCTCCCAAATACCACTTTGATGACTATGGCAACTGGACTAAGAAGAGTGCAGAAAGGTTGATCAAAACAACAAAAGGAGCCTCTGCCTTAAAAAGCATGATCTATCAAACAAAGGCTAGGGCAAGATTCGAGATGGAGATTATAGACTATTCCTTTTGATCCTTTTATCACTGAAAAGTATATTCTTATAACTTTCCAGGCACCCAATAAAGCCTGAATAAAATTTCCAACTTTTAAAGGATCTGATTTGACCATAAAGCACTTACTAAGGCATCATGCACAAGATAATGGGGTTGGGGAAATCCAGTAAGACCCAACTTTGCTACAAACTACAAAGAGAAAGAGCAAGGAATTTTGCCTTGTATGTATTTCTATTCAATTTTATTTCAAAATAAGTATTTTTTTTAAAATATATTTTATTTAAATTAATTATTTTAGAAAATCTTAAATTCAGGGACAGCTTATATCTATCTCTCTAATCTCAGCCCAGCATAATTCCAGGCATTTGTTAGGTTCTAAAAATTGGCTGTTGGGTTTTATATTTGTTTTAAAATATCAAAATATAGGAACTGCCTTATGACCCAGCAATTCTACTTCTGGGAATTTATCCAAAGAAACTGGAAACACTAATTTGAAAGAATATATGCACCCTTATGTTCATTTAAAATAGCCAGGATCCGGAAGCAGCCCAAGAGTCCATCAGTAGATGAGTAGATAAAACAGCTATTTTACATATACACAATGGAATACTACTTGGCTGTAAAAAGAAAGAAAATTTTACCCTTTGCAACAGCATGGATGGACCTGGGGAACATTATGCTGAGTGATATAATGCAGTCAGAGAAAGACAAGTATCTGATTTCACTCGTATGTGGAATCTAATGAACAAACTGAACTAACAAGCAAAATAGAGGCAGATTCATAAATAGACCAGTCTTTTGGGCGGGGGGGGGGGGTGGGGGGGGCGTGGAGGAGTTGGGGTGTGTGTGTAGAGATTGAGCAAAAATAAAAGAGAAAGATCTCATGGACACAGACAATAGTGTGGTGATTATGGGTGGGGGAAGGAATGGGGGGAGGTGGAAGAGGGTATAGAGGGAATTAATAGTGATGAAAAAAAACTAAAATAAAGAAAAAACTATCAAAATATTTACTCAGGTTTTTAAAATGAATGTTAGAAAACCTCAATTATGTGAAATAAAGTATAATAATGAAGGAAAAAGATGATATTTGCCCAATTATAAAATCTTTTAAGTAAACAAAATGTAAATTTTAAAGTAGAATTTACTGAAGAACATAAAACAATTTTGAAACCAAGTTAATTATATATGAAATGGCATATATATAATATATATAATATAATCTATAATAATATAAAAGAGAAACATGGTAATTGGCGTACGACCGCTACCCTTTTCATTGGCTAATCAGTGAGTATATGCAAATTAACTGTCAGCCAAGATGGCGGCCGGCAGCCAGGCAGCTGGAAGCGAGCATGAGGCTTGCTTGCTGCAGTGAAGGAGGACTCCAACGTTCGCCGCCTCACTTGCCCGTCTCTGAGCTACAACTCTAAGCAACTATATACTATGTTGCAAATAAGAAGGTAAACAAAACCCCAGAAACCGGCTTTCATTCAGCCGGGCTTTAGCAACATTGTATCAATGTTTTCAGCGGCGAGGACTGAGAGCTAAAGCTGGCCCAGAATAAAAAAAAAAAAAGAAAACAAGGAGCGGTTGGAAGCTTCAGTCACTCGCTTCCGGAAAACAGCCCTCAGCCCCTCACCCAGACTGGCCAGGCACCCCAGTGGGGACCCCCACCCTGATCCAGGACACCCTTCAGGGCAAACCAGCCAGCCCCCACCTGTGCACCAGGCCTCTATTCTATATAGTAAAAGGGTAATATGCCTCCCGGCACCGGGATCAGCGGAGCAGCCAGGCTCCTGGCACCGGGATCAGCATGACAGGGGGCAGCGCCCAAACCCCCTGATCACCCCTGCGGCTCTGTGT